ATACTTAACATACTTAAATATCTTTATTTATATTTTAATTAATTATAATAAAAATTAATGGTAATTATATGTTTAGAATAAATATAGTTGTAATGTTTTTAAAATTACTGATTACTCTGGTAGAAACGTGTAACAATAAATAAATTAGATTAAATGTAAAGGGTATTTCCCGCCACATGATTTGATGAAATGTAAATCTTTAAAAAATTTAAAAATTAAATTGTTGTGTAAACATTAAACTCCATTAATTATTAAGCTAAACAAAAGCGGTAGTATTTTTTTGTTTGACATTTTTACTAATAGAATCACTTTAATTTTAGCCTATTGTTACGCCGACTATTATAAAAGTGAAGATTATGGGCAATTTCTTTGCAAATACACTGCTAATGGAACAATTTCACTGTATAAGCGAGACAAACAGCATTATTGTCGGTCACGAATAGTCTAAACATCAAATTACCGTCCATTTGCCATCGACACGATCTGCATAATATAATAAATTCGTAAGCCTTATGTTCATTCGTCTCGTGACGTCGTATGTCCATGAGTTTAGGAAAATCTTACAGACACTTAAAATTATTTGGTTGTTTTTTATCGAAATACCACTAAATAATTAACGCAAATTAATAATTACCTCGGAGCCGGCTCGTCAAAACTTGTTTTCCATATTTTTGTACGTGTTAGAGTCCTCTTCAATTCGTGCAGCGGACCGCAAAAAATTGAGAATGTTGCGAAAACCATGGACTGCAAAGAGAACAAAAAAGGCCATTCCTACCAACTAAAAATCACCACAAGATTGTCTACTATCATTTACAAACGCGCTTAGCAACATTGGCCCTATAGCCAGGAGAGAACGAAATAGTCTCGACATGTTGGTATTGAGAGCAATGAGTTGGTAGATAATGAGTAATTATTTGGTAGTGATGGCAAGAGAAGTCGTGGTTGATCGCCTACCCGTTGGTCTGAAAGACAAGTATGGGTCTTAACGTCCATATTGCACTAAGTCAAGCTGAGGATAGAGTGGTGTGGAGACAGCAAGTCGATGTATCGCTTAGAGCTATTCAAGACAGATTACGAAGAAGAAGAAGATATCGAAATATCCATTATCCAAAATTAACTCTAAATATATAATAATTGATTAGTAACAAACAAGTTACTTTTGAAACCAGTTGACATACGCCTGTATCATCTATATCAAAAATCGATTGGTAAGCTACGTGTTGAGTTTATAGAGAGTGCATTTGAGTTAGTCTTATAATGAAGTCTAGTAGCAAAAGGTACTCGTAGCAAAGTGTATTTTAATTTGTGATATAGGAATTCAATATTAATTAGTTCATAAAATAAAAATCAGTCTAATGAAATCATATTTACTTCTTTTTGTCACAGCGTAAAATAATTTGACAGACAAAGACGTCAAAGGTCTTTTGTTGAAGAATTCAACTGGTTTAGTATTTACGAATAAAGAGGACTTAAAATGGAAAATATTCCAGTTAATGAAATATTTTCCTTTAAAAAATCTTTCCTCCTAATTCATGGACACTCTCGCGCCTCTCACACCTTGTGATAAGAGTAACTTGTCATCTGCGTCTGCGCAACGCGCCGTGCGCCCGCGTCCACCTTTCTTTTGTGACGTCAAGACAATTTCAGCCTCATCAAAACACGATAAGAACCAAATTTGTGTGTGATAGTGTGTGTTTAATGTAATTACTACGGTACGTACTAATTAACTATAATTTATTGAGTGTATTTTATACAATAGGAATATCATAATTCATTATGATTCTAGTTTTTTGTTAGTAAATCAAGGTCTTAATAAATGTTTTTCCGATTTTAGTTCAAGTTCTGTTATATTATTTCTAGATCTAAAGTGCTGTAATCAATTATAATTGTAAGATTGTTTATTCTTTAATTATGCTATTATTTATTTCATATACCTACTTTTTTAATAGTGAGAGTCTTCGGATATAAAAACTACGTATCATTTGTCCTAAATAATTATTCTTCATAGAGAATTAGACGAATATTTTATGTAAGTGAGTGAGGTTCTTCTGTGCCTAAGCATATATTAAGTAAGGACTAATTCCTTATAACGCAGAGACAATTGATTTAAATTTTATGTTATTAAAATGATTTTTAAATCGTTCGTCTTCAGCAATTATTTCATCGTGCGTAAAACAAACCCATACACAGTGGTCCATGTTCCTAAGAAAGGCGGTCATAGAGGTTGTATGTCGGATTAAAAATGAAATATTAACTTTTTTTATCTAAGAAATGATTGTTTTAAGGTTTTAATGATAATAACAAGTAAAACAGTAGATATATTTTTAAAAAAGGTAGATGTATATTCTCAAAAAAAAAGGATCCATCCGTACTAATAAATAATAGGTAGCAATAAAATAAGTTTTATTTATAAATTATTTCTGAAAATAGCTTAATTTACATATAAATAATAAAATTTACCAGATAATAGAAAACTGAACATAGTATTTATATAAAACATCGTCTTTTTTACATAATAGTAAAACATTATAATTCACAATATTTACAGGTTTCTCTTATGCCAATATAGTTTAAGTACATAATAAATAACAACAACCAACACTTCTTTTTGCTAATACAGACTTCTTCTTACAAGGTAACTTTCTTATGCTAGAAATAAGTGGGTCTGAATTAAGAAGAAGTCTGTTCAAAAGATCCATATTAGTTACTTCTCGGGAATCGAATGTTTCCTAGTGTTATCGCGTCTAAATAGTTTAACTAATTTATTACAAGATTCGGCGGCCTCTTCAGATGATTCCGTTACGCGAATATCAGTTGGGTAGCAACGTTTTTTGGCTTCCTGGCCAACACTCTTTGATAACATGGAAAAGCATTTGGTATTTTAGAATTAATCAAGTTTTTTAATAAAATGTATTTTTGATGATTAGTTAGTTTAGTTTCAGTAATAAATGAAACGATTTCATCAGAGTTGAATTTTAAGAAACTGTCGGCTGATTGATTGGAATCACTAAGTAAAGTATTTTAAAAGCTAGCAGAATCGTCTATTTGAGATAAAATTGCCAACCTGCGACGTTTGCTCTTCCCTGCGGGGTTGCTTCCGCTTGCTGCATTCTGCATTCTCCCAAACCCTTCTCTTCCTGTGCTGCGTCCTGCTTGTAGATTAAATATTTTTCCTTGTCTCCGTCTTCTGTTTTCATGTAGTTCTCGCAGAGCCCCCAAGAATGCAGACTTCGATCTCATTTAACCAGTCACCGTATTTGGCAATCAGCTTAGCTTTTGTCCTCCCCAGTTTCTTCCAATATGCAGCAAACCGTTTACAGAGATTACAAATTAAATCTCTTAAGTAATCGGTCTTGATATTTTAAGTGCCCGGAAAGATTTTGGTGTCCGGTAAAGAATTGCTAGCATTCCAAACACTTCACGAGATCTATCTGCCTCATCTTCTTTACTTGTCGCATTCAACCACGTGTCTAGGACAAGCATTCGAGGAAAAGAACACTTGATGATGGGTCCTACAGAATAAAAAGAAATGAAAATTATAAAGTATCAAATATACTATATACGACTTTGTCTTTGTCATGACCTATAAAAACCTCCCGCCACCTTGGCGGCCCTTCTTAGATGTTACAGATTCTAAAACTAGACAAACAAGAGATTATTTTGATATATGTTTCATCTTTGGGGATTCGTTCCTTCCTAAGTAAAAGTCTAATTAAATATGGCAAAGCGGTAAAACTCAAAGAAATCGGAAGTCTTTCTTGATGGTGGTGATTACAGATAACGACACGGTTAAAGTAAACACAATAGGATTAAAAATGTCGTACATACCTTCTATTTGAATATCCATGGCACAAAATTATCACAAACTATCAATTTCCGAGAAAACAACACTTTAAAACAATAGAAATTTTGCCGACAAAGACAACGCTAATTAGCACTATTGGAATGTTATCACTTCGGTTGCACAAAATGAAATGATCCTTTCATGTTATTGTAATTTTTTTTATATCTGGGGGTAGAAGGGTTATTTGTCTACCCTGTAGTGATAAGTGACGTCATAATTCAACCATCGACATTTCAGCCCTATGACCTTTGGATGGACCACTGTGCCATAGTGTGAAATAGTTATCAAGATGTGTAACATATAAAAGATAATGATAGTCTGTACTCCTAACGGACGATGCGCTTGGTCAAACAACCTGATTTATATTTATAACAAAGAACCAATGATTAAGACAAATAAAGTAGTACTAAGTATAGCAATTTTTAATCAATTAATATCAAATTTAGTAGCAAACCCAAATGTAAAAAACCAGTGGCCTCACAACCTTTTTAGATCTAGGCGTCAGATTTATCTGTTTCGCTATCATTTGTCAATCTAATTGGTAAGTAAGTGATCTGCCTCCTGTGCTGTCCACACAGGCTGTGCTCGACAGACGCTAACTTTTTGGTTTAATGCAAGCCGGTTTCCTTACGATGTTTTCCTTCACCTTTCGAGCGAATGTTAAATGCGCACACAAAAAGAAAGTCTATTGGTGCACAGTCGGGGATCGAACCTACAATCATAGGGATGAGAGTCGCACGCTCAAGCCACTAGGCCAACACTGCAAAAGATAATAAACAAACCTTTAAATTTCAACTCACATGTTCGAAAAACATTGCATAAAGTGGCATATTTGTGCCAGGGTTAAGAACGCTTGTTGATGATTTTAAGCAATGCCTAGACATACTTTAGGTGTAGCTTAAGTACTTAATTTAGCTTTTATGCAACGAACATATTTTATTAATCTGGCTGATGGCTTTGTCCCAAACTATTATGATTCACAAAACAAACTTTGGCCTTATACTATTTTACGACATCGTCCTAATTAAAATCAGAATCACGGCCTTGTGGATCTTGCCATACATCAACGTGTCAGTGATAATGTGGTCATGTAACGTTACACGCGTATAATAGTGCTGAAAAAGAACCTTAGTTAATAGTGAAAAACGAATCTATTATGGCTCAAAATAGAGTCAACGAAATGGCTTCCAAATTTGGGAGGGGAGGACCTCCTGGGCTTGCTAATGGAATAAAAGCTGCAGCCATTATCGGAGCAACGGCTTATGGTATCTCCCAAGCAGTCTACAATGTCGACGGAGGCCACAGAGCCATTATATTCAACAGAATAGGAGGAGTGCAACCCCAAATTTTGACTGAAGGTATGCATTTCCGCCTCCCATGGTTCCAGTACCCCATCATTTACGACATCCGGTCGCGACCTCATAAGATCTCCTCCCCAACCGGCTCGAAAGATTTGCAAATGGTCAACATTTCATTAAGAGTCCTGTCAAGACCGGACGCCAATAGTTTACCAACAATGTACAGGACATTAGGTAAAGATTACGATGACAAAGTTCTTCCATCTATATGCCATGAAGTGCTGAAGTCAGTAGTTGCGAAGTTCAATGCTTCTCAACTGATCACCCAACGGCAACAGGTGTCACTACTAATAAGAAGAGAACTTGCAGCTAGAGCAGCGGATTTCCATATAATTTTAGACGACGTATCGCTCACTGACATGAGTTTTGGTAGAGAATATTCAGCCGCTGTAGAAGCGAAGCAAATAGCGCAACAGGCTGCTCAAAGGGCTTCATTCGTCGTTGAAAGGGCTAAACAAGAACGACAGCAAAAAATTGTTCAAGCGGAAGGAGAAGCGGAAGCGGCGGAAATGTTAGGCAAGGCTGTGTCGATGAACCCAGGATATTTGAAGTTACGTAAAATCAGAGCGGCCCAAAGCATATCTAGAATGATTGCTCAATCCCAAAACAAAGTGTTCTTATCTGGCGACAGCCTTATGTTAAATCTTCAAGACCCTCAGTTTGACAGTTCTTCAGAAAAATTGTCCAAAAAAAAGTAATAAAGTTGTTTATTTTGACATTTAAACAATTCAAAATTGGAATAGACTTTAACAAGTGAAAATCGAGTATTACAAAAACAATAAACCATTATAATCTATAGACTTATACTTTATGCAACCCAATGGCGACTAATAAAAATAATTTTCCTCTTAACCTTGAATCTGAGCGTCAGAACAAATAAATCGTTACATATTTTATTGGCGTAGAAACAATAATACTAATATTTTACGTACGTAAATAATTATCACGTTGTTTTTAATTTGAATTTGCAAAGACCATACTTATTACCTGTTTCGCATAAAATCTTCATTAGGAGAAATAGTGGAATGTTAGTGAACGGATAATGATTGGTATCTTATTACCAGTTATGTTGTAGGTTGTTTTGTTGCCATACCTTGTTTTAAGCAGTAATTTACTACCCATAATGTGCACATACGGTAAATAGATTTAGACATTAAAAAATATTTGTATTTTTTATCAAATTTCTTTTAGATCCCTTTGCAGTAATCGACTATATCCGACCGGCCTTAAACCACATAATACCGGTGAGAGATATATTTTAAAAACTGAACCAATAATTTTAAAAATACATCTCTTACAATCGTTTTACTGATAAACCACCAACTTGTATTTTTGCATCTTACTTTTTTACGTTCTGACGACGATTCGCTATAAACAATATTTCAGTTAGGTAGGCACAGAAGACTAATCACTTAACGACATCAACTTTATAAGGTCATGAAATATAGGCTCTGTCTCAAACCCCATGTATGAATTATCAGAAATAAAATTGTCTTAATGTTATGTTATGGCCGTATTGAGATTCATTTAAATGACCTCTTTACTTTAAAATTCCTTTTACTTAGTTTAAAAATATTTTAAGTTAACAACCTTTTTCAAACTAATTTACACAGTATTATAGATAAGAAATGTTTGACACGAGAAACTAGCTATACATCATCCTCTACATTCTTAAAAAGAAAAGTACCTTTCTCTTAATTTTTAACGTGAAAATGTATTTATTTTAAGCTTAAGTTAATATTATGTAAGTAGACGTAATATTTATCGATTAAACTAGTTTGAAAGTATTTTAAAACATGTCAATATCCGCACTTTATACATCCGAATAGTGTTCCGTACAATTAAAATGTCAATTAACTGTGAATACAGTGAGGTGTATTTAGTTCAAATTATTTTGGTGTGCAAAATCGAATAAAAATTTCAAATCCAAAAAACTATAAAACACTGGATTTGACACAATAAAACATATCGTTAGGTATAAGGTGTTTTCCTCAAAAAGCGTTGAATATGTTTGTATGGAGATATTATTGTCAGTGGCGCTACAACCTCTTTAGGTCTGGGCCTCAGATTACCGAATTTGATCCATGGTCATTTTTCAATCTAATATTCAAGTAGGTGATCAACCTCCAGTGTCTGACACACGCCGTCGACTTTTTGGGTCAAAGACATGTCGGTTTCCTCGCGATGTTTTCCTTCACCGTTTGAGCGAATGTTAAATGCGCACATAGAAAGAAAGTCCATTGGTGCACAGCAGGGGATCGAACCTACGACCTCGTAACCGTAGGTTCGATTTGCATTTGTAATACACCGGTTCTCGTCCGATCACCGAAGTTAAGCAACGTCGAACGAGGTCAGTAATTGGATGGGTGACCGCCTTGGAACACCTCGTGATGTTGGCTTTTTTTTTCGTCGTAAGATTGGTGTCGAGAAAATCTATCATACTGTTATGATACCAATTAACATATAAATTAATCGAAAGGAATTTCGTTCCATCCGGGTGTCCCTTGACACCTCTAAAGTTTTTTTATTTCATTTAATTCTCAAAAACAATATTTAGATAGTTGCGATTTCTAAACTTTCATTAAAATCAATATTACACCGATATTTAATTTACATAATTATACATCATCTACGCATTAATATTAATTTCATTCATATAAGGTAACTAAGCATGATTAATTAAAATGTATAATAAATATAATATAAACTAGCTTGATTACTCGCCTTTGCCCGTATGCCCATCTAAAAGTGTACTTTCTTGTTTTTGATTTATGGAGTTTAAGGATAATCTAAAATTGGATTTGATTTACAGTACAGAACGTAGCGCAAAATCTCGTAAGACCGTAAGAGATACCACTGTGGCTCAACGCTTTTTTAACCCGAATAGATGGATTTCCGGAGAAACGGAGTTGTTGAAGCTGAGTTTCATCATCGGACGTCAAGGCAGAATACGAAATTCCACCCTGAAACCTCGACGTCCGTCGTTCCACAACTGAGCGTTTTTGAATGCAGGTTTTTGCCGCGCACCACCACTATGTGGAACCAGCTGCCCACTGAAGTATTTACGAACCAATTCGACTTAGGCTCTTTCAAGAGAAGAGCGTATCAATTCTTAAAAGGTCGGCAACGCACTCGCGAGCCCTCTGGCATTAAGAGTGTCTATCGGCGGTATCACTTAACATCAGGTGAGACTCCTGCCCGTTTGCCCCCTGTTCTATAAAAAAAATCAATATAATCAGCTTATTGAAGATAATGCCAAATTTACATTATGCTCCTAGACATTAGACGTTCTTGCTATATGACGATAGACAAAGCCTTGACTTAATCTAATAAATAAAATTCTCGTGTCGCGGTGTTTGTAGTTAAACTCCTCCGAAACGGCTAGACCTATTCTCATGAAATTTTGTGTGCATATTGGGTATGTCTGAGAATCGGACAACATCTATTTTTCATCCCCCTAAATGTTAAGGGTCCACCCCTAAATTATTTTGTTTTAATTTTTAGATATTTTTTTTGTTTTTATTTTTTTATGATACAGCATTAAAAAATACATACAACCCCTAATTTTCACCCCTCTACGATCAACCCCTATTTTTTATTATAAATGATATACATGGCAAAACGACGTTTGCCCGGTCAGCTTGTAAATACATAGAATTCTGCTTAACTTCATTATGATTGTAGTTCAAAAAGAAACATCCCGAAGATTAGTTGTCAATATATACGTTTTACAATTTTCAATGTGTGAATTAACTTTTCAAAATTGGAAAAAGGAAAGGTGCCAATAGCGTTAGCTATCCCGATTTCATTATTCAGATTTCGTATGTAATATCGATTTGTGACATCATTATTTTTATGACGTCCGATGAATCATGATTTGTATAATGAATTTACGCTTCTCTCACACCGGTGGAGCTTGCAGGAGTATATGGGGCTCGAGATAACAGCTTTTTCAGCTTTTCCACTAGGAGAGCTATACCCTTAAAATCAACCTCGGGTACCACAGACACCGTAGCATTTGTGACTATGTACTATTGATATATCGGAATTTGCCTTCACGTTTAGATGACGTCTAGGCCTTTAGGCTAACTAATTAAGGTAATCACTGAAATAATCCGTTTTATAATGCAATCAGGCTGTTTTGATCCTTAGTAGACTTTAATCCTTTATTCAAATGGGAAAACAAATGAAGACGACACACGAATTGTGCGACCAACGATTCTTTATCTACTTTATAAATTATATATTTCTCAAGGTAAAGCGACAAAACAATAAACAATTAAAATAAATATTAGTCTCTGAGAAAATTGTTTATGTAAAAACATAAAAAATTCTGCAGTGCCGTAAGATTGATGTGATAATGAGAAACCAACGTGACGGCATTTATCATCTTAGTTTCGCACCTTGAGTATATTTACTTTGCTATCTAAAGGACACAGTACGCGATATGTTTATACTATAACCGCTTACATTTTAAGCTTTTTTGAGGCAAGTGAAATATATATTATTAATTTAACTAAAAACATAAAAAAAAACAGTGGCGCCACAACCTTGTTAGGTCTGGGCCTCAGATTTCTGTATCTGATTCATGATCATTTCTAATAGGCAACTACGTGATCAGCCTCGTGACAAACGCCATCGACTTTTTGGGTCTAAGGCAATTCGGTTTCCTCACGATGTTTTCCTTTAGCGTTCGAGCGAATGTTACATGCGCACATAGACTGAACGTCCATTGGTACACAGTGATCAAACCCACGACCTCATGGATGAGAGACGGTGAGGCCACTACGCCAATAGTATTTTAATTAAACTGATTTAAATTAACATAAAAACTTAAAGAGAAGCAAAGTAACCTATTATTCGATACATAACATGGTAATACATAATATATATTATGTTTATGTAAATGTACAGGATTAAACTTTTTTTCCATTCTATGTATATATATTATATAATGTAAAACTTCGTTCTTAAGCAGCAGATGAAATAACTAATTATTTCGTTTTGTAATTAAGATTAAAGATTGTCTTTAGGTGAATACTCTACATTAAAAATCAATTTTTTAACGTATAAAGACGCAAATTTATTAAATATAACAATAGCATACAATTTTATAATAAGAATATAAATCTTATTCTCACAAAAACTCAGGTTTTAAATTAATTTGAAGTGATATTATCTTAATACCGTTTTACCAAAGTATCTCATTTTCCAACAAAGGAGGCTTGGCTTATCGTTGGTAAAGTTTTGATGCCATCTTTAGACACAGTTTTCACTCCAAAGTTAGGCAAATTCATAAATAGTCGCTTGTGTATTTCTCTAACACAAAGCTTAATTACTTCGAATGCCTCCACTTCGCTAAGACCTGTAAAAGAACCTTTTAGGAAGTCTGATGATTACAAAGAGTATTTACTCTCGAGAATTTGATCTATTTCTTTACAGCCAAATAAAGCTTTTCTCTAAAAGCAAACCGCGTTGCGTTTTCCGCAAGTACGGAGGCACAGAAGACTGATCACCTACAAATGTACAAAAGAACTGGATCAAATAAACAAATGCAATCTATTCGATCATGCGACGCAATAAAGTTTTCTATGTTTGAATTACTAGAGAGTATACTTATTTTGAGATGACCATATAAAAGTACTACTTACTGGGTTTATAATACTGACTAAGAATGCTGATACTCATGAGGCCACCGAATCCATGAGCAGCGAATGGAAGCCTTACGCAAGAAGCCAGAAAGTCCATTGTATATAACTGCCCACCTTCCTTTTCGTCATATCCAGCGATGAGAAGGTTCAATATGAATGGGTTCTGGTGAAATAAAGATAGCTGTCTTACAATGTGAAAACAAACAACACAAAGTTTTTAAAAATGAAAAATACAAAATTTCATTCCATTCATTAAAACTAAGTCATTGGAATCTTTTCACACAAAAAACTCTTTTGTCCCTTTCTGTTAAATCGTGTAAACGCTGTGGTGAAAAGAGGTAGAGTAGTATAGTAATATTGGTACAATAAGACTTATTTATTTTAAATGAATAGGTATAATCAATAGAATTATTCAAGAATGATATTATTTAAATGTCTAATATCTTTATTTGATAAGCCGTAAGCTTTGACAGCCTGTTGGGTTGTATTGGGTCTGTACATTATACTGTAAACATCTATTTAAATATGTTACTTGATTTGCAAACCTGTTGGCTTTGCTTTAACGATAAAGTAAGAGATATAATTTTACTACTAAATTACTCTTTTTTTAAATATGTCGTATGGAAATACGTTATGACGCCTGACTGCCTTGTGGTTGAGGGTTATGTGGCTCTCAAATCCCATGGTGCCGCCAGCAATCGCCCGAGGCAGAACGCGGTAACCCGGTTCACATCTCGCCACGCAACCAGCCGTTGATGTCACGACCCACAACTACTTACTATACTCTCCAACGTAGACCAGTAATTATGCAAGGTGTTGGCTAGATATAAGGTATTTTCGGCCAAATAATAATTATTTTCCGACCATAGATACAGAAAACTATCATAAATATCTAATCATAGTTTACGAAATTGTATATTCGTTTGAGTTTGTTCCATTTTGAACGGGGTTGTCCAGAAATAATTTTTAATTACATTGATTGTAGAATGAGTTGCTACCTACTTCTCTTCGCAAAATATCCGTCATAGTTGTTCTTGTGAAATGAACCGCTGCCTTTGTGTCCAGCTGGTATCCATTTTTTATGGAATACAGCTTCATGTTCTTGTTGATGTACTGGCTGAACTGTGTGATATCACCAGGGTCTCCGTTTACACCCATCAGTAATTTATCCGAGACTTGCATCAATTTGTCTTCGTCTGTAATATTTTTTATTTATTTGTACAATACAATTAATTTTTGACGCAATTCTCACTTAAGAGTATTTATCGCTTAAATTGTTATAGTTTTCTCAATATCAATATAATTTCATGGGATTGCGGGGTACAAAACCTTTTTAGGTCTGAGCCTCAGATTTCTATATCTGTTTCATGATCATTTGTTAATCTAAAAGGCAAGGCAAGCCTTCTGTGCCTGACACACGCCGTCGTCTTTTTGGGTGTAAAACAAGCTGATTTTCTCACGATATTTCCTTCACCGTTCGAGCGAATGTTAAATGCGCACATAGAAGAAAGTCCATTGGTGCACAGCCAGGGATCGAACCTACGACCTCAGGGATAAGAGTTGCACGCTAAAGAGACTTGGCCAACACTGCTTACTGATCAAGATATTTTTCATATCTAAAAGAACAGTATTAAGTATAAGATTGGGATGGGATTTGTTTGATGCCTGGTTAGAAAGAATTTTTATATGTGCGCGATTAGCGATATCTCGTAATGGGACTGAAAACATAGTGAGTAAGTAATTTTAGATTAGCTAAATTATTTTTACCTGTGTCCCATATCTATTTACTTATAAAGATAAATACTAATAAAACTGCCCATGTCAAACAAACACTAATTTATTAAACAAGTTTTAAAAGAAGTTTTAAAACTTGTTTTTTAAAACCTTAACGTAATTTTCTTTTACTATCGTTAACCTTGTTAACAATCATCTTGTCAGTCGAAGTGATAATATATCTTATAATTGCTTATATGACCTAGTATAAAACGCCAACCCACATACTATGGTAATAATATGTAATCACTTTCATTATACCGCTAGTACATTTCACTTTTGACGAAATAAAAATATACATTACCATTCCACTTAATTATTAAAATCTTATTAGTAAAATCAGATAATATTTTGTTCTATTAGCATTTAATATACTAAGTACTTGGTGGTCTTTACGTTTTAAGTAATTTTATACAGAGTTTATCATTTTGACCTGTATGTTTACGTGTTATTAGAAATAAAATATATTCGACAATAATGATCTCGTTCGTCCATGGAAAATGATTTAGTACTTTTTAAGATATGGACATTTGTTTGTTTTGAGTTTACAGGCATTAAAAGTCAAGTTTCATCAGTCAGTCATCATTAAATTCTAGATTCTATCTATGTGATATAACTATGTACATGCATTTAATAAGAAATGAAAAACCGGCATATATTCATTAAAAAATCTATTTTTGTCAGGCACAGAGATAAAATATGTCTGCCTACTATGAAAATCACCAATCAAGTATACATTAAATCAATAAAAAAAATCCAACTATTACAAGATAATTTCCAACTAGCATAAATAGGAGCTATGCTTAATGGCTATAGTTATAAACTTGACCTGAATTCCCTGTCCTAAGAAAATATATAACCGCATTTATATGTGGCGATAACATCGGAACGTTAAGTACAATTTTATTTCTTGGTATTGAAATTTGGGACCTTTGAGATTTATTTAAAAACATGGACGGCCTAAAGAAGACAATTGGGCAGGGGAGTAACACACTTATGAGCTCCGTAATGGGGCTGCCTATTTTATTGATGATTTATCTTCATTTTTTATACTTTTCATCTCCACACACTCATTCACTCCGCTGACTTTGCGACTCCAATGCTTGCGCAATGATAAAATTTTTATCGATACCTGACCTATGCTACTTCCCGCCAGTTGTAAGCTTTCAACCCCAAAACATTATTATTTTGTCGGGATTTAAAACTAGGACCGCAAAATGTTTTGTTTTAATCTACTCTAGGCAAACACAACTCACGTAGCCCAAAATGTTTTGAAGTTATTCAGTTATTATTAAGACATTCTATGCCTACCATTTTGAAACAATCTTAAAATCAAACTAACAATAACCATGGAGTACCGTAGGCAGTTTGAATAATATTCAGAATCGAGAACTTAGGTAAAGTTCAGAGTTCTTAACGCAAACTATGACTCCCTTATTACTTACTCCCTTGCAAACCAAATTGTCAGAAACATTTTAAAATTCACATTACATTCATGGCTGCCCACAACACAGGCAATCCTAGTGTCCCCCACACTACTGCACTTTTACCTAAATATCCTTTTATTGTGTAAAATGAAGTTTTTTCTTTTATTTATTTTCTTATATCAAAACCAACACCTCTTTATCACACTTAGTATGCACCTTGCATAAGGGGTAAGAATTATACAACATAAGATGTTGATATAACGTCTTAAGTTCCCTTAAAAGGTAATGCGAGAATTTTGAATAATTATGGTATAGTGTGCGTGTTACACTTCAACTGAACGTGATTTGAATTTGTTCAACTATTATAAAACGATTACCTAAATGGAGTATGTTTATCGTTTCACCCATTGTTATGAATCACGTGTGTATTTTGCGGTTAGTTTTAAATTATATTTACATAAAAGAAATATAATGAAACAATAAGCACATAAATATTTATGTAGTTTTTTAGTATACAAATTTATAATTTAATCAAAATCCGTCATGAATTTTTGTAAGTACGTTGTGACGTATCGACTCTGTCATTAACAGTTCATGGTCCGCTTTGGCAAATACACCTAGTCGTGTCGATGAATGAACTTAATTCAATCAAACTTGACAGAGGCTATGGCCGTTGGTCCATCACCACCGTCACCGGGACGTCACCGAGAACGAGATGACGGCGCCGATTTAGCGAGACATACATTTAATATGGCCATGTGTCCACCGCACGCCCGTCACCCGAGCGCCGTCATCCCGGCCCCCGATCTTTCGAGTAGTTCGGCGTGACCGCTAGAACTCGGCCCGGTTTTATGACGGGCCGACGCGATGTGCCGGCTATACAAAACACGTTTGGTGTTAGGCATCCCCTGTAGTTCGTGTTTATCCACCTTATGAGGTATTGGTAGGCAAGAGATTTCGGGATTTACTAAACCATATTACAGGGGGATAGCTTGTACTCGTTAAGTACCTCCACAAAATGAGGTCCATTATAAGGGCCTGGAGAGGATCAATTAGTAAAAATTACATCAAAATTCCCAGGCATCAGATTAAGGTAGGGTGAGTTAATTAATCTAAAAAGTGTATATTCCACTAATCTGACAATTTGAGAGTGACGGAAAAAAGGGAGGGCAACAAAGTTGTAAAAAAAGTCATCTCGACATTCTCGAGCGTAGCTAATTTTTTTATTTTGAAGGAAATAATTCAAGAATAATGAAAAATTATAATCTGACGATTTCCGCAACCGAAATAAAAAATTCGTCGATAAAGTTAAATGCTGCACTCGTGATGCCTACATTTCCTTAAACAATCGGAATCTACTAAACGGCGTTCTAAATATTTCCCTCAAAATTACATTTCCTTAATTTGAACCATTCGAAAGATAGATTTTGAGAAATTTTGAAAAATCTTAAAAAATTAAGAAATATTTTTTTAAAGTGGTTTCTTTATCGATCAACTTCAAAAACTAATCGCCTTTGAGCTTGAAAAACCACGTTGATCGCCACTAAGCTGGTCAAAAGCGGTTATTCGTTCGAGAGATATCGTGAACGAAAGAAACCGAAAAAGTGTTTATTCGGGATTACTCGAAATTTGTGGTTCGATCAATTAAAATTACTTATGAGGATGATAAAACTGCGTCGAATGCCGCCAACCGTGAAAATTGCTTGATCCATTCAAATGTTATTGCGGTTTGAAAATTCCAAAAATATGTTCTATGAAACTTCTATCAGACTTTCGAGCTGGGAGAGCTCAATTAAAATTTATTTCTTTGAATCACGACTCAAAATATCAATTTTAAGCCCCAGGAATGGAATTAGCGGGAAGTTGCAGGATGGCCCTTTAGTGAACGTTTTTCTAAATTTTTTTGTCAGATCAGCAATCCCTCTAGATAATCTCAGATTATGAGACAGTACGTTTAGAACATAAAGATGAACCACATATATCTTAATCTGAGCGCTTGAGTATTTCAAAATTGCGATTTTTTTGCAAATTATGAAAATGGCTGTGGGTTTGCGTCCCATCAAATCGTCAGATTAGTGAATGAGAGCTTTTTTTGGTGCACTTAACACTCCCTTAGAAAATCTGACGCGCTCGATAAAATTTTTTTTTCATTTTCAACCCTTAAATACAACCACCCCATCATCAAAGATCAGATTAACATACGTACATTATTAAAAATACGTAGGGCATAGATGCTATCAATATCTGACGCTCGAGGATGTCCATAACAGTTTTTTTACATATTTAACTATCTATAGCCGCTTCCCACCGATGAAAAGGAATTTATCATATAACATTTTTTTCTTTTATTATCTAAGCTTTGCATCCCAAAAGGTCTCTACGACGCTCGAGTAAATCCCCATTTAGCATCGTGGGCTCCCCTACCATATAGGATATAATCGAACGTAGTCGTAGACATCCTATAGTAGTTAAAAAAACTTGAGTTCATACTGCCGCAACTTGTCGTGAAGTACATAAAACGCTCCTGTGATGTGTTCACGTATTAGCGGATGAATCCAAAATTCTTTGCATCGTCTACGCCTCCGAATGTACAAGAACCATTTCCCGTTGACACCATCCACCTAGTGTTTTTTCTACTAAAAAGTAAAACCGACTACCACGCACACAAAGCTTTAAACTGAGCCACTGATATATCGGCCGGTGGACACACATCCCGTACTATCTTAAACGGCCAAAAATCGGTCCGATGAATCCGTAGCGGTGGTGGACAAACGGCCTATGACCTTGATTAATATTAAAATTGTCTTGTTTTTAAAGGAAAATACACCGAACGGGAGAAATATTTAATATATTGTCTAATCTGTCTCGATATGACATGATACATTCGTTCGAGCGTTTAACACTAAATAAGTTCCAGCTAGCAAACTTGAGCACTTGAGTTACGTAAAGTTTCTAAACTGTAGATTTAAATAATTGCAACCAAATTGTACTCCTCATGGGCTGACTAATACCAGGAGATAACTTTTTGGTGAGGACTATTTTGTTCTAGAGCTGCCACTGAACGACTTTTGCCAAAATAGGTATCCATAAACATATAAATGGTAACCTATAAGGTAAAAATTTACCTACAAAAATATATAAATAACTTCTTTACCTTTCCCTTTCTTTCTTAACCTGAAATATTATTATCATGACTCACCATCTTTCATAACTATGATACTTTGTGTGTTACTCTGGTCCGCGGCTATGATCGAGAAATCATTACATTGCATACCAAGCAGACACTGTAGAAGTAAACTAGTAGCCATTGATTTAAAATATAGAAAAAAGTATAAAATGTAGTAAAATAAAATGTCAATAGTGACTTGTCTAAAAAAATGTTACCTGTACAATGTACATACTGTATGCAATAATACCCCAATTCCACAGATACTGTTTGCCCAGATCTGCAAAGCCTTTTCAATATTAAGAATTTATAAATAAAGATTTTTTTGTTATAATTAGTGTATAAGAAATCATTTTCATTGTCTAACTCAATCAAATATATCTTTATCAATGAATATACCAGTGTTAAAAAATATCAGGTCTCAGGTGTATAAAGTTTAGTTTTATTATTTAATTTTGCATCTCATTAATGAACGTATTTACTATCTCAATTAATTAAAGAATGCAACAAAATCAATAGCTATTTAAGATTGAAACTACAATTATAATTCTTAACCATAATAAATCTAAAGAAGAAATATCTTCAAGATACATGTAAAACAATTGGTAAGACTTTCTTACTTTTGGCAGGCAGAGCAGTGTTGGCCTAGTGGCTTCAGCGTGCGACTCTCATACCTGGGGTCGTAGGTTTGATCTACGCTGTGCACCAATGGACATTCTTTCTATGGGCGCATTTAACATTTGCTCGAACGGTGAAGGAAAACATCGTGAGGAAACCGACATGTCTCAGCCCCAAAAAGTCGACAGCGTGTATCAGGCACTGGAGGCTGATTACCTACATAACAGATTCCTGACTACCTAAAAGATTCAGGAGTCTGAGGCCAAGACCTAAAAAGGTTATAGCGCTACTGATTTATTTTTATTCTTACGTTTGGTGTACATTAATGAATAGTTTATCGCATGTTATATTTCCAGGTATTTTATCATATCTAGAAGTCTTTGTTTTCAAAAACAATTTCAGTAGAAATTTGGTTACTTTACAAAGGTGGAACGATTAGGATGAAAATGTTATTTTGAACGAAGAGGCCATTGTTCCCTGCCTCACGTAATACTCCATAGTTATGTTATAAAAATATTCATTTGAGATTAAACAAAACAAGATTACATTAACGTCTTGAAACTAAAACGCATAATACATATAAAAGAGCGAGCTAAAGGCAGATAAATCGTTTTAATAAAAATACTTAGAATGTTATATAATGGTATTATGGGCAGGAATTTTATCATATCTTGAGGCATTATAACCCTTTCATAAAATAGATATTTTTACACAACGTAGTATCTTGAAAGAGAGTCAATATTTGTCCGCTTTATCTTGACTGTTCCACTATTTTACGTTTATTTGAAATGTATTAAAAACTTGCATAATATGACTATTTTTAACTGTAAATCTAACTGAACACATCTTAAGAAAAAAGTGAATTTTAGTATGTTAATATTAAAATTCTACTTCGTTCTTCGTTTTAAGCATATAATATTTCGAAAATGTTAATAAACCTTAATTTAATTTGGTACAGCTAAGAATGATATTTCAGATTTCATTTAAGCTAAAGGTCCGAATATGGCCTGCTTTTGTGTCAAAAGTATTAAAGATATGACATTTAGTAGTTATGTTGCATATCACAGGAGTTACTTTAGCACTCACTGTATTCTTATTAAAAACCAAATAAAATAAATATTTTTGCAAGGAAACAAAAGATGATTTCTTATTAAGAGATTAATTTTCTAAACACACTCCAGTATTGAGTTATATAGCTAACTAACAGTTAAAATATTATTTTATTGTTAATACAATATGCTTAGTAAATATTGATTTATTTTAGTATAAATTTATTATACTGCTTCGATGTTTATATTTCTTACCAAGTCCAAAAAAACCCCGAAAGAGGTTGCTAATAGGACGCGTATTTTTCTATAATCGAGTGCATCTTCCACTTTATTTTCTCATTCATCGATCATCGTTAGAACTTCCAATAGACCTCGTTTCAACTAAGCCTTTTAACAAACAGATCTTAATGAGAAAAGTTTTGAGCCTTTATTCTTAGCTTAGGCTCGATTTAAAAATTTTAAGATAAAACTTCAGTCTCAAGACTCACCTCAAGGTAATTCTCAAAATTGGTTTATTTTATTTGCAATAAATTTATGGTACCTATATGGAACTAGGACCGTAAAATTGATCACTTCTTAATGTGGTTACACATTAATTAAAACAAAATACAGAGTGTATTTTGTTTTAATTTTTGGTTTAAATTAATGTATATTAATGCGACAAGTATTTAAAAGGATCAATACAATATTTGAAGAAATACATTTTTTATAATAATAAACAATTAAATTAAAATACAACCATCTATGCTTATGACCATGTATGATATTTTCATATATCTTTTATATTCAATAGTAGTAATTACTTAAATTAAATCAATTCAATTCATATAGGTAACACAATGTACACTTATGAACGTCAAAAAGTAAAATATACATTAAATGCTTCTAATTTTACATTTACTGGCAATTCTCAAATCAAGGGCGTAGAACGGAAAAGAAGAACTGGCAATAAACTCTCCGCCACTCTTTTCAATCGCCAAGGTTTTCTTTTTACACAATGTTTGTAAGGAGCTGCAACCATAACACAATGTTCCATATGACATCTTGAGTAATTAATAGTTAATTAATAATAATAAAATAAATTATAAAACAAAGATATGTCCTCTATCAGCAGGAGACCTGGTGAAATAGGAGCACGCACTTACATTGCACGTGGGAACATCACGCAAATACATAGTCGAAATAACTAACAGCACCGCATACACGAATTCAAGTCTGACCAGTCGCCACAAGTGGCTTAAAGTTCGCTGCCAGCTTTCAGGCTACTAACTGCCATAGGGACATATTTTTAAATGAATTATTGTATAGTGTAATTATTATACGCAATTCTATGATATTGGTGTGCGTGAAAAGTGTCAGCTAAGGATATAAATGATTTACACCTTAATTCACGACGTCTTTGTTGCATTACAATGTCGAGATGTGAGGATGCAAGCATTAGCATTAGTGCCCATTCCCATACATTACTTAGACCAATATTTCACAGCGATAAGCTCTACAATATAACGGATTTCGTGGGAGCTTCACACCACTGCATCCTCATTTAATGCGATTTCAAGATAAAGTTATTGTTACTTAGAACTAACATGATGGCGGGCAATATGACCACATTATTTTCTAAATTGCTGCTGCTCTAGATAGTAGGCATTCGTGAGCGTGGCCGCAGCAGGTCCTGTGGTAACTAGGACGTGGATGAGCTGGACAGGACAGGTTGGAGTTCAGTTTACACTAATGTTTCACTACATAACACAGCATACATAATATAACCACAGATACTTGTCATTTTCATGGCAATGCTGTCCTGACTATGTCAACGATTGCCACCATGACCATGCCCCGACTTTCCACCCCAGATCACTAATGACATCTCTGAGAAGATTCTTCATGGGTCGACTCTTGGAGCAATGTTGAGAAACCCCGATTAGCCAACAGATCAAGCGACGCAAGTGGAATTGGATAGGCCATATCAAATATATCCCCAAGTCAGCGCTTGATGGGACGCGGTTGAGGCTCACACCCTCTGTCACCCATCAGGGGATCATACGACATTAAGTCAAATAAGACTGTGAGAATGTAAAGAATGCTATTGTCTTTGTTTATTGTTTTTAGTGACATATTTTTATAAAACTTTTTTGATAGATAGAAACGTTTTGAAGAGTTGGTCGGGTCATCACCGTACGAGCCGTATTAACTTCTCTTCCGTTTTACGCCCTTGAGTTGAGAACTGGCAGTAAATGTAAAATTAGAAGTATTTAATGTATATTTCTTTTTTGACGTTCATAAGTGTACATTGTATTACCTATATGAATAAATGATTTTGACTTTAACTTTGAACTTCTTTATTAGGCGTATTAAATTCACAAGAGATTTTCTTTAGCCAACTAGCCAACTCTAGAAACGACTACCGGTAGGGGTCTTCTCTGGGAGCTACGACCTCCAATTGGGTAAAATAAGCATACTCTTCCTTCAATGTGTGTCCATGGGCTGCCCCCCATCGTTTACCCCCTAACCTATAAAAAATTACTTGATGATTCAATTGCTTTTTAGAGATATCTAAAACATTTGACACAGCCTAATGATAGCATAAGACAATTATTTTTTTATCATTATTATTATTTCGTTTATAGCATACACACTAACTATGTACTCGTATAATAGCCATAGTCCACACAGACATGCCAAAAAATGTGTACTTGAAATAAATAAATAAAAAATCATTAAAATGTGAAGTAAGATTCAATTATAGGGGTCAATCAGGTTATTATACAATAGTCGTGTGTGAAGGTGCCGCTCGTGAAAGGCTGTTACGCATTGCTTGTCACTGCTAAAGCATATCGATGATTTTATAACTAGTTAACAAATTACAGTCTTCATAATAATGGAAATACAGAACAAACAAACAAATTCCATCACCTCACATCTATGTTCAACAGGGCAGTATTTTTAAGTTGATGACACGTGTCAGAATAAAAAAAATCACGCCCAGACCGATTCCTGTATTTATTTCCTTGATATTTTTTTTATTCGCAACAAGAAGTACGCCTTCTGCTCTACACATCGTCAATTTTGGGTCTAAAAATCCCGATCCCTCACTATATTTTACCGCAGGTATTAATTGCGCAAATAAAACCTAAATCCGTGATTACATCTTACGTACTCGCTACACACATGCTAACACTAATTATAATAATAACTAGTATTATTAAAAACTAATCATCAACTGTGTTACAAAGGTACGGTCATTTAAGATTAATAAACAATGGAAAAAACTAAAAACTTCATGGAAACCTAAGCTTAAGCTGATAAGAATATATATAACGGCTTGCAACAAAATTCTGAATGGAAATTAATACAGTGAAACGTGTATAAGTATTAAGTCAGAAACCTTTATAAGTAAGAATTGCAACGAGGTCCCGGCACTTTTTCATCGAATTACCTTTGTTAATAGGACTTTTGGTATTTGGTGAAATGAGAT